CTACTGCTGCTACTACTACTAGCATTGCTACTACTACTACTACTACTACTAGTACTACTACTACTAATACTACTATTACTATTACTACTACTACTACTACTACTACTACTACGACTACGACTACTACTACTACTAATACTACTACTACTACTACTACTGCTACTACTACTGCCGCCACGACGACGACGACGACGACAAGTACTACTTGTTGCTGCAGCTGCGGCTGCTGCTACTTCGGCTGCTTCGACGACGACGACGACCACGACGAACTCTGCCACATCTTGTACTCCTCAGCTACTCAGAACGGTACTCGCACAAGCCGCAAGCACTGAGGTCTCTTTGAAACTGCAGGGTAACAGGATGCGGTTCAGGGTTTGGGGCTTATATGGGAGTTTGAGAAATTGGGGACCCTAATATAGTACCCTAATAGTAGGATTCTGATTATAAAGGCCCCAAAATATGGTACCCCTAATTTTCAGAAACTCCCATATCGACGCGAAGGCCCCGGCGATTCAGCCACTGGCCTGGTGCTCAGTCGCAGCTCGGAGCTTCGCCTCCGGAGCTGACATCCCAATACTTGGAGGATCGTGGGACTTAGTAATAATAAGGCCCCTATATACTATCATTATAAGAAGGCCCCTATTACCATGATTATAATCAGGCCCCTACTTGGAGGATCGTGGGACTTAGTAGCTAGGGTTATGAAGAAGGCAACTATAATTATGACCCCAGTTAGGGTACTTATAGCCTTACCTGCCTTACCTACTAACTCCCATGATCCTCGAAGTACCTGTGGTGCCTGCATTTTTGCTTGTATGCGGTTCTTGCAAGCTTTAGGAGTCATGCTTGGAAGACTTTGCTCGAAGTCTTGCAAAGTCAGACTTCAGATGGTGCATTCGTGTCGTCTGGTGTTGCTGTCCTCAGTAGACAAAGCTTGCCTCTATCACGGTTGTGCTCATGATGACTTTTGGAGCTTTTCTATGCTGGATTTTCTGCATTTTCGCAGCATGGAAGCAGGAAAGTCTAGCTTCTCAGAGGGGTTAAACCAACTCTATTCCAGAAGCCTGACGCTCTTATAGCAAGTGCGCCAAGGGTGCAGGTGTGCCTGCGTTGAGCAGTTGCAAGTGTAAGCCTTACGTAGCTGTTGCGATTGCTAATTCCAAGTCCTATGTGGGAGTTTCCGAAAATTAGGGTACCTTATTTCGGGGCCCTTATAATAAGGATCCTACTATTTAGGGTACTATATTAGGTTCCCCTATTTTTGGAAACCCCGTCAATTCCGGTTTAGCTGAGGAGAGTGAGCAGCCTCCCACTGCGGCTGCATCATCCAGCAGTGCAGCGCCGAGAGGAGGCAGGGCAACTATGGCTGTTTAGGGGTCTATAGCGTTTTCATTAAGGCTTCCTTCAAGCGTTCCTGCAAAGGGTACCACATATGGTTTAAAGTTTGGGGTTAGAGGTACTATTTCGGGATACGTAGGGCTTTTCCGGTTCTGACGGGTTCTGCACTACAGGGGTCATGATAAGGGTTACTAGAAGGTTTACTACATGGGAGACCGTCATCCCTAAACCCTAAACCCTAAACCCTAAAGTTTCTCTAAGTTCTTTTGCTATTTGGTTTCACTGCCCAGGGTCGCAGGCTTTCAGTTGCAGGGTCTCAAAGCTTTACAGCTTTGTGGTTGCAGGGCTTAGGGGTTGTAGTTTTCAGGTTCGGGTTTTTGGAGCTGCTGTGACGCTTGGGTGCTCGGGTGTACAAGGTTTCTACACGTGTTCTACACTGTTTTCATGCCAGTTTGCGGTCTCAATCAGGGCTTTACTTGTTGTAGTCTCTTGCTTTCTAGTGTGCACCCTAAACCCTAAACCCTAAACCCATGAAACCCCTAAACCTTGCCCTAAGACTACCACAAAGGAATTGACCCGTAAAGCCCGATGTGGTGAATCCCTACAGAGCAGAGAACTAATCGACCTTTTCATCCTGTTCATGACGGTGTTGCTGTTGTTGTAGTTGCGTGAGGATGGTTTGCATTGCGGTGATTCTTGTTTGCAGTCTTGTCATGTTTCTTTCACGATGATGTTCGTCACTCATGTTCGAACTGTTCAGAACATCTTCCGGGCTTGTTGTCGGCGCCAGCGTCTTTTGACACATGGCTGTTCTCCGCAAAGGTGAGACGGAAGCGCCACTGCAGCCAGCGGTGGCCGCTGTTGGGGAGGCCTCTTTGAAAGCTTCTGCCGGGAGGTTCAGCGCAGTTTGAGACCGAGATTCTGGGAACTTTGGACTTGCTTGCCGGACCTTAGGCTTGCAGTGTTTGCTGACTTGTCTTCGGATATCTTCGGCATAAAACGAGCGGGTAGACCAGTCTCACAAGTTTCGGAGATTGCCGGTTTTCGAGGTTTGGGACGCGGTGCTTGAGGTTTTGCAGGAAAGCATTCCGAGCCTTGACATATGGAGGAGCTTCGCTCCATGCACGCCTGAGATCATCGGGGAGAGAGGCTTTAAACAGTGACCTCCTTGAGCATCCTAGCATCGAGACTTCTTCCCATGCGCAAAGGCCGAGGAGACGCGCTGGCGCTTCCATCCGTTCAGCCGGCTGCGGAGCGTGCTCAGATGTAGCAGAAGGCAGCGGCAACCGCAGAAAGAGGTTTCGTCCCCCCTGCTGGATGGCACGGCAGTGTCCGTCGCTCCCGGCCACTTGCCTTCAGTTGAGACTCATCCGCATGTCTTTATTGGTGCCACAAGTCTTGCTTGTGCTCTTGCCGCTTGGACAGCGAGGTGAGGCTGCCGCGCCAAGCAGCCCTCCGACCCGGCCGAAGGACGGCCCCTGGGCTTTCTGAAATGCTGCACGTCGCATGTGAGCCCTGGGAGCTCAGAGGAGTCGAGCCTCCTCTCCACGCTCCGCGTCCCTGAAGCTCTTGAGCGACTAGCAGCAGGGAGGCGCTGGGCCAAGCTTATCGGCAAGTCACTTGAAGATATCGGGGTGACACATATGCCGTTGCTGCGGCATAGGACCTGGGACTTTCCTTTCTGCCCAGCAAAGAGACCCGAACGATTGAACGAGGCTCGACGGGTGCACGGCGCTTGAGACAGTCTGGCTACAGAGCGTGGCCGACAAGGCAACCGTAGCGCATCCTGTCAGCAACAGGGGAAAGGTTGAAACATGAACTACTGGCACCTATCCCTCATTTAGGGATATTGCGTTCGGCAGCTGATGTGTAAATGCGTGTTGGGGGCTCTGTGGGGTCAGGTTGAGTAAGGACGATTCGAAGCAGGGCCGTGAGCCCTTGGGCAGAAGCTGTTCGTGCTGAGGCAAATTCATGGGAGGGTTGCTTATTAGTGAGTTCGCTTCCTTCTGTACTCGTTACCGTCGCACATCACCCTAGTTTCGGCCCCTGTAGTGGGTCTTGGCATTGCCATCGCTGTTTTGCATACGCGCCAGCTTTGCGAATGCTGGGAGGATCAGATCCACTTCCATTTCCCGTAGTCATGACCCCTATTAAGGGACTTATAGCCCCACTTGTAACTCACGCTTGAACCTCCTCCCAGTACAGCCCTGAATGCCTTGAACTTCCAAATCCTAAGCCCCAGCAGTCCTCCAGCTACAGACCTAAACTCTGAACTTACTAGAGGAGCCTTGATAATAATCTATACTGTTTTGAGAGACTCTCCTTATTTATAATTATAGTACATTTTCGGCCCAAAACCCTATTCTAATTATTCCATACATTTTACATATGTGTACCTATACATACAAAAGCATATATATCTATACATATATATATATATATATATCTCTCTCTGCACGCATGCACACACAAGCACATGTATCTTGCTAGCGGGCTAGCGCTCCCCTCAGGGTCCCTTGGCCGAGGCGCCAAAGTGTGAAAGCGCCTCCAGAGGGTGAAGGCCGATTGCGTTGAGGGGAAATCTGGGAGTTTCCGAAAACAAGGGGTACCTTATTTTGGGGTCATGATAATAAGGATCCTATTATTTAGGGTACTATATCAGGGTCCCCTATTTTTGGAAACTCCCATCTTGACAGTCGGTTTTCGACGGCTTAGGGAAGAAGGGTTTAAGTTTAGGGTTTAGGGTTGGGCGTCTAGGCTGTCAATGCGGTTCTTCATTACGTTGCCAAGGGACTCTCTAAACCCTGATCGCGAAGGCCCGCTCGCTAAATTTCTCAGCTTCCAAATCCACAGGTCAGTCTCGACAGTCCTGGCTCATTATTCTGCGAAGACCCCAGCATAGGGGGTTCTTCGCATCATGCCTGCCATCTGGGGTTTTTTTAGCGAGGATCCTAATGTTTCAGGTTTTGATCAGGTTGGCTTGTTTACTGAAACTCCCGCATTCCTAATCCACAAGCCAGCCTCCAAGCAACGTTGACTGCGAGTGCACCGTAGGTTGGCACGGACCACTGGAGAGCAGCGAGGGCGGATGGAGTTTACAGCTCTGGTACAAGTGGCGCCGAAGCTGAGCAAATATTCTTCGGCTTGCAGTATTGCAGAAGTAAGCCATTCTGCGCCTCGAATTTCCTCAAAGCTTCGACGGTTTGGTGCTGGATTCGATTTATTCGCCCCCATGTTGTTCCAGAATTTGACAGGAGCATATTTGGCGTCGAGAGGTCTGTTCGATGTTAATGCTGACAACAATCACGATGGTTGCAGTTGAAGCGTAGAGCCGTACTTGGTCAAGCCAACATTCAACTTGCGCATCAGGCTGATAGCAGGTATCCGTAGTGCTGGTAAGGGTATTGGTAGTGGTAAAGGACATTGGTGTTGAAGTTGACAGTGGCAGTGGCGGTAGCGGTAGCAGTAGCAGTAGCAGTAGAAGTAGCAGTAGCAGAACTCGTAGCAGTCACTAGTCGTGCTAGCAGCTCAACCGGTCGTTGGAGTGGTAGTGGTAGTTGCGGTCGTAGTCAATCCTTGTCTGCGTGGAAACCGTGCTAAGCCTCAGCATGACAGTACTAGCACTACCACGTACCGGCTTGCACCAGCAGTACTTGTAGTTGTATCTCTTGATCTCGCACTTGTTCGCCTCTCGCATCTGCACCGGGTAGCATGCCAGTCATGACATCATATGACATTGCTGCAAGGGCTCCGACGCGACTTAGGCGTGGACTCGAGGGTGGATCCACCAGCACCAACCAGTACTGAACGCTTTATGGAGATTGCGTTTGGGTTTGCAAGGTACTGGTCCCAAATGTTCAAACAGATATCACAGAATCTGTGTGGACACGCAAAAACTTGTCAGCAAACCCACACTGCGGACTTGAAACAAAGTAGTGTCTCTCCCATACGCCAGAAGACTATATTAAACTGCCATGCAACCCTGAAGCCCTTCCGCAAGTCTGGACAGAGGTCTTCCGCGACGGTGATCTCCACTGTCTCTCGCTTGGCCCTTCCGGGCAGCTTCTGCGAGGCAGATACGCCTGCAAAATAATCAAATAACTGAATGCTTGCAACGGCATAGTAGTTGTGGTAGAGCAGTAGTAGTAGTAGTAGTAGTAGTAGTAGTAGCAGTAGCAGTAGCAGCAGCAGAATGATCGTCTGGCCATTGTCGGCCCATCTACCCGTCAGGTTTTGCAAAAACGGTTGCCCCAATAGCTGGTCGAGTTCGAACCAGCACCTCAACGCAAAGAGAAGCTGGCCTTGCCAGGTGTTGTCGTTCTTCCGCGAGGAGCATCGCATCAGTCGGGGTATACTAGGGCTCGTGCCTCACAGAATTTATTCAGACAACGCTGCCACAGCCTGCAGGCAGATCTTGCAACCAACTGGTGCTTAGCTCGGGTATTTGTCCAACATGGCCTCATGCCACCAGCCACTCCTTCTTCGGCTTTGCTACTGCTAGTGACAGGTTGCCGTTCGTGAGTGGTGGAGACTGCACGTTTTCCCAAGATCTTCCTGCCACACCTGCTTGTTTGCATATTAGAATGCACTGGTTAGATCCTTGTCACTGTACTTGCCATCCGAAATTCAGTTAAAGTCCTGTTGCCGTTCGGAGGTGTACTGCCTTGGGCTCGGCAATTGTGGAATTCTGGGTGAGCAAAACACATCTTTGCAAAGAGTGGTCGAGCGCGACCTTGCGGATGGGGAGATTTTTCAGTGAGGGTGTTCATGATACCATAAACTGCGCCCTGCTTGGTGGTGTTTCTAATGGCAGCGATGCAGCTTGTTACAATGACACAGCTGGTGATGGATGAGCTCAGAATCAGGCTGAGAACAATAATCAGCATGATTTTGTGGCGGCAAGTACATATGATGTTGATATTGATGACGAGCATGGTGTCACAATGCAATTGAGATTTGCATGGTCTTGGTCACACTGAAAGCGATGTTGACCTTGCTGATGGTGCTGCAGTTGCCATTGCCGCCGCTGCTGACGATGATTATGATGACGATGGTGGTGATGAGAATGGGAATGACGATGATGATGACGATGGTGAGGACAGCGATGATGATCATGACCATGGCAATGTCGCTAACACTACTGCTGCTGATGGTGATGATGACGGTGGTGATCATTATAAGCATTATGACCCGTGACTGATGACTTTGGTGGTATCGCTGTTTGAGAGTGGTCTTGATGACGATGGCAGTGATGCTGCTTCCGATGCTCTTCCTGGTGCTAGCGACGATGATGGCGATAATTCGCACAGGACTTTCTGATGGTGACGACGATCATGGTGACAATGGCAACGATGCCGACGACAATGACGATGGCCTTTTTCTGGGCTGCTGCTGATGATGATGACGATGATGTTTTGATGATAATTTAAGTGAGAGTGAAATTAGGATTAACTCACACTTCCTTGTACGCCATAAAAGCGCTTCCTCCCCCAAACAAGGTGCTACACTCGGAATTACAAAAACCAGCAGTTAATTTCAGTAATTACATCTAATATAGGGGCCTCAATAATTACCCAAATTAGTTTGGGGGTTCTTTTTTTTACCATACTATAAAGGACCCCAAAACCGTATTCTAGTTATTAAGGCCCCTATATTAGCCTTACTTCCTAAGTTCCCTCAGCCTCCAAAGTAAACCCTAAACCCCCAAACCCT